ACAAAATGGAGCAAGACTACATGTAATGAAACCACGACATCAGACCATTTTAAAACGTGGCACAGCATTACAAAAAAACATTTTTCATTATGAACATATTGCATACGGCTTTCTTATTTCTTGTGAAAATCCCCTAATTGTAATGTGTCTGAAAAAAGTTCCTAAATATTAAGAAAAGTGATCTTTGAGCTTACCTAGGACTATCAGATAGCCATTACCATAATATAATCGGTTGAAATAACACAATATCGTTGTTGTGTTTTGTTCTGGGTTGAACAAAGACATTTAAGATTTAAATTAATAAAAAGTAAGGTAAGTTATGTTCAATCAATGTACTGTAACGCCCGTAGCGTTACGGCCTCCTAGCTTTTATAAACTCTTTTCTTATGTAATGCCTACTAGGGAAGGCGATTCTTTCCTAAAAAAGATCGATTTTTAAATAGATTTGAATCTTGACCTAATGAATCGATCCGCAAAAAATCGAGGCCAATAAGATCGATTTCTGAAAAAACATATTTTTTTTTCAAGTTTTTGTTTGTAATGTCATATAAATTTGTTTTATTAAAAACAAGATACATATTATAATTTAACGATCTCTTATCAGTAAAATCAGGTAATACGATGACAAAAAATATTTTTATTCAAAGATTGCAAACAAATGTAACATTTTTTATTAGAGAGGCGACGGAATTCAAACATCCAGCCATCTCGCTAGTTTTTTTAATAATTAACCCTTTAACCGGCAGCACTCTTATAATGGGTACATTCATATAATTGTAAATACTTTTTTGGTTTATACCAAAAAAATAAAATAAAATCGAATGTCGATTTTCAAGAGTGAAATATCGATTCACTGAATCGAATCAGAACTACATATCGATTTATAAAATCGATCTTTTTGGACCAAAAAATCGATTCTTCGCTTAATCGATCTCAGATCGCCATCCCTAATGCGTACGGCTGGCAGTTGTATTAAAAGTAAATGTCATTATATTAAAGACTCAAATATGAGAACATTCTGTCTCACATCGAATATTCTAGAGAGATTGAATTCAGGCACAGACTCGATCGGTTAATAATATTTCATTGTATTATACTGAATTCTAATAAATCCTCAATTTCGTATCTCCAGCTACGTTCCCCAGGTTCTTCCTTCGGGACACTAGGCCGCGTACTCAGCCCCCATGCGCGGGCCTGCGCACGTCTGCGGGGTTCCCGCGATACCCCGGGAGACCCCTGCCGTGGAGCCCCGGTTAGGCCAGGAGGCTGCTAGGTACGAGGACGCGGAAGAATCCCTAAACGGGGATCCCGCGGCTTCGCGCTAAGCAGCTTAGAGGGTATTCGCAGGGTTTTTTAGCGTATATTATGCCGTAAAGCGCCCGTAAGAGTTACGGGGTCCTCAGTACCCACTGAGCCACTTCTGGGGCTTGTAAGGCTTGCGGGAGCCAGGTGTGAGGTCCGTTCAGCGGTATGCCTCTTAAAGGCACCGTCGTCTGTAAACAGTATTTTTTGCAAAAGGTTCCCCCTTCGGGAAGAACACTTAGAACAGTACTACATAGAGAGAAATTTTTGTGTAGGTACTTGAATTAAAGAAAAAAAACGAAGTTACAATAACACACCACTTTATTCCGTAGATATGTCCAAAAATGTCGCTTCCTTATTGAACTAGTCGTTAGTCGGTACATATAAATATTTGTTTGTACAGTACAGTCGTCGAACATACAATAATGATCACTCAGATGCAAACTGCTCTTGCGCAAATAAGTACATCATCAAGTATTTATGTTATTCGTCACTTAACTTATACTATTTACATCATTGCAATTACTTATATACCTACCTAAATAATCAGAGAATTTTAAGAAACTACATATCATCATCATGGTCGTCAGCCTATTAATGTCCCCACTGCTGGGGCACGGGCCTTCCCTATGGATGGAATAGGGAGATTGGAACTTGAAACACAATATTAATGTTATATTAAATTTTATTTTATTGACCCAAGGCCTTCTCAAGGAGTTTTTTACCATATGCGTCATTAATACAAGGTAAGTAAAGTCGTTAGCCAAAAGTTGTACCTGAGTGAAGCCCTTATTTTGAATACAACTTTGGTTTAAAAATGTAATAGTTTAAGTTAAATCATCTCTGTAAGGCTGAAAATCCAAATTTTCTGAAATAATGTTCATAAGTTAAAATCTTGGTTATTAAAAACCTCGTACTTAATTTTCCCAAAAGTTACGTGAAATATTTTATTTTTCTGATTTATTTATCATTTACATAAATAGAAATTATTCTTATTACCTCTATAATTTATGTAGGTCTCTGAACTTAAAATTATCTATAATGCGATTCAAATAAGAATAGGGAAGCCAATGACCTCTATCTGTCAAATGTCGCTTGAAAAGTACGGTTTGCAAAAAAAATCTTGGAACCCTTTTTTAACACTCCGCTAATTCAAGAATAAATACCAAACATTTGTGAACAAACAATAAGAAATATAGATAATTAATTTGGCCATGAATGGTTGATAACCTAAATGTCACTTTAAGTTGCGTTCAGAAACTCGATTTCAAACTTTCGTTTACATAAAGGATGCATGTTCGTATGTGACCTAGTAACAGAGCATGATTATTCATAACTACTCCGGCGGTAATGCAGAGATGAGCAGAATAGAAGAGCTAGATTCTGATTAATGTTTTTTCTCAGTCTTAATAAATAAATATTATTAAAAATCGGTGTTTTTTTTTCTCAATCTTAGTAAATAAATGTTATTAAAATAAGATCTGATGCTTTTTGTCACTTAATCTTAGTAAATTAGTTTTATTAAATAAACCCTTTTTTTTGCTCACTCTACCTATTTGGTTTGAATTGACAGCTATGACATCACAATATGGCGCCCAGTCGGTCCTATTCTTAGTTGAATCGCATTATAATAAAAAAAATGGATGCGTGTAACTTATGTACGCGCGTGAGAAGTTATACTTCTTTAGCATCATTAAAAATATTTTTTAATTGCATGCAAATAATTAATAATTACAATAAAATAATAAAAGGACTGGAAAAGCATAGTTAACACAGTCAATTAAGTTCAGTTTTAATTTGAAAAATTAAATAAATATTCAAAATATTCAATTAAACTCACTACTGAATTTAAGTTATTAGTCCATATGTAATTAGCACTTGTAAGTAACTAAAACACGTTGTGTCTATATAGAAACTAGAAAAATGTGGATAAATATTATAAATATGAAAACAGTGATCAGAGGCGACGAGCGTGCCAACATTGTTTTTGACAACGCGATCATCTTATGGAGCTCCGTGGATCGTTCAAAGTACCTTTCGAACAGATGTCTAATAATGGTGGATTATTAACCACTAAGTGGTTAATAATCCACCATTATTAGACACTAACATTCATAACGCGCCCGCGGCCAACTTCATGGTGTTACTATTGTGTTACAGTGATGCGCGCGCATCTCGAAATTTCACTCACATGATTTTTTCATAACGCGCCCGCGGCCAACTTCATGCTGTTACTTTTGGGTTACAGTGATGCGCGCGCATCTAAAAATTTCACTCTCATCATTTTTTCATAACGCGCCTAAAGAAGTATAACTTCAAAAAATCTTATAGTTATCAATAAATTTTTACTAAGTATCTTACACCGTTTCTACTTATAAGTCATATATAGTATATACATTTACATATGTGTATAATACTTCACTTGGTTTGTGTCCTTACTTAATAGTGACGGCTCTTCCATTCGTATCATTCAAGGAAAAAATATAAAATTGACAAAACATTATCTTTAATCTTCTTTTAAGATACTATGTTTTTACTATCTTTTCAAATGCATTTCTATATTAATGAGATGGCATTAAACCTAAATTTAATTTAACATATTATACTCCAATAAATTCCTCATTTATAAACCTCACTTTTTTTAAATCATTATACTAAACACCAACCTTAACATAATATATCTTTGTGATTCTTTGACTAAATTACATTTCTGTTAAGTAATAAACATATACATATATTTCTGATTGGCTCTTGAATAGTTGGTCACAAATGGTCTTTAAAACAATTACCTACATATTTATATAAATATATGAACTAACGGCACGAAGTAAGTACATAACCAGACCCATAGACAAAAAGCACTCGGTATAAACTATAGACAATAGATAACAGAGTGGAAATCAGGTTCTCACTCCACTCCAGTTATTATACAGGCTGTTACAAAAATACAAATAAAGCTTGAAGGGTGTTGAAGTACATAATATAAGGAGTCTTCTCTAATTTTCTTAAAATATTTGCATGAAGTTTTAACTTTATGTAAAAACAGTTCTTTTTAATGATCCTCGAACTAGTGACGTGTCTTAAAATTATCGATATTTTTATTAATCATTAAAAATAACTGTTTTTATAAAAAGTTAAAACTTCATGCAAATATTTTAAGAAAATTAGAGAAGACTCCTTATATTATGTACTTCAACGCCCTTCAAGCTTTATTTGTATTTTTGTAACACCCTGTGTATACTAATGAAATGTCGCAAACTTATTATGTCAACTGTCTCAAATTAAATATTAGCTTTGACCACAGATAATTTAAATTTGAATTGCCTAATGGATGACTGGAAGAGTCCAAGATGGTAAGTGTTCATGTCCTTTCCGTGAAAAAGAATATTGCTTTAAGATAGTCTGAGTTTCATATCAGTTCCTTTAAAACTTCACCTAAATCACACCAACCATCTGATCGTCCTATGACTATATCGAATTTCTTGCGTTATTGAGACTGACTATCTAGGACATTCATGCTCTATTTACACCGCTCTTATTAAACTTAACTGTGTCTACTAATTATATTATCCAATGATCGAACGCGCACTATGATTTTTTTTAAATCTTTATAAAATTACGAGAATAATCCGATTTTTTCGGGGACTTTTGGGAATACCTCGTAGTATAAAAATCACCCCGAAATTTGAAACAATAAATATGGGTAATGTTTTGTGATTTGAAAACACCATAACGCCTCGTGACTCAACTTCTAATACGGCCGCAGCTTGTCGTTGCTATGGCAAAGCGAGGCGGTGGCGGTGACGAAGGCGGTAGCGGTGGCGGTGGCGGGGGTCAGAGCGCATGTGCGTGCGCGTGGTGAGGCCCCTGCTGGTGCGGGTGCGGCAACCCGTGCGGGGCCCCTCCCGCATGCTGACGGCCCTGACGAACAAATCAACATATAAATTACACAGCTTTTTGATGAAAGATCAAAAGAAAAAGGAATCTATATATATAAAACTCAAAGGTGACTGACTGACATAGTGATCTATCAACGCACAGCCCAAACCACTGGACGGATCGGGCTAAAATTTGGCATGCAGCTAGGTGTTATGACGTAGGCATCCGCTAAGAAAGGATTTTGATCAATTCTACTCCCAAGGGGATAAAATAGGGAATGAAAGTTTTTATGAAACTTTGTCAATTTTAAGCCGATTGGGCTGAGACTTTGCATGCAGGTATAAGAAGAATCATAGATTAATGTCATTGTGTATAATACAAGCCTGAGAACAAAAACTGTAGTCTACACTTCAGCTCTACACCGAAGCGAAGCGAGGGCGGGCCGCTAGTAAAAAAAAACTATAAAACCATACTGAGTCAGCCTCTACGAATACCGTGGTTTATTAATTTAACATTAGGTCGACACTTTGTAGTGACCTTAAATAGACTTCGTTCTGGACATTATTCATGTAACAAGTTTGGATGAAATATTATGAAAAATATTGAGTCTCCCAACTGTGAAGTATGCTGTGTTGTAGAAGATCTCCAGCACTTATTGATGGATTGTGTCCGGTACCAGAATGAGAGACAAGAGTTTGTTAACAAATGTAAATTGAATATGTCAGACATTGGGGTGTTTCACAGCATTCTGGCCCAACCGGTCTCGGAAGGGGCTAGAATCCTATATCGCTTTATATGTCTGCCGCGACTTTCTTCCGACAATAACATATTACGTTAATTGGCTTAGATGATTTGTTAATTTATATAAGTACACGATGGGACTGACATGCCTGTAAAGACAAAAGTCCTTTAAATAAAGAGAAAAAATACACAGCTACAGACGCAGTTTTCAATATATAAAGATACGTCCTCTTGATCTTTAAATTTAGAAATCACACGAATTTGTTGTTGGTCATTATTGTAATCAGGAAGATTATGACAGCTAGATAATATTTATTTAATATGCGCTCGGCAAACTCAACTTTACGTTTAGTAGCTGTGTTTTCAAACAGAAAGAAGGAATCAACTTTACTTCTAATACGTATTCAGACTTAGATCGCTAAATCATTTTCGATCTTGATGAAGAAATTGACTTGAAAAAAGGATATGTGCTATCTTTTGTAGTAGAAAATAGTATAATAGGACGTGCTATTTTATGAAAACAAGGTCTTGGACGACGCCGGTCTTAGGTCTCGGCACGCCACGAGGAGCCCAATGATCACTGCCGAGCTTGGCCGAAGCTGTCAGTGCTAACGCTAGGGCATCACCCGCGTGTTCACATGGTAGTTTTATTGCTGGTGTATTGGCCAACGCTGTCAATGCTAAAAACTAAAGCATACCCATAGGTCATAACGCTGGTGTAGCGGCCAGCATCGCTGAGCCAATATAAGGTGTAGCTCTCCTCAATAGCTTGTTGACCAACACTGTCGCTACTAACACCGAGGATATTAGTTACCTACAGTTACACAAGTAGTCCTATGGCTGGTGTAGCGGCCAGCACCGCTAAGCCAGCACGGTGTACCGTGGCGGCACCTAGCTAGTTAGCCGACGCTGTCAATACTAGTACAGGGGAGATTAGGTGGTGGTATATTTGCTAACATCGCTGAGCCGGCACAGGATACGTACCGTACCATACCGCTTTGTTTATTGGCCGACGCTGCCGATGCTAATATGAAGGCCTCACTTGTAGGTACACGTAGGCATGATGCTGGTGAACCGGCACGGGAGATAACGGCATCGGTGGGAAAAGTGAGCACGCCTAGCTTAGTCGCCGGAAACATTGCATATGCTTACAGTAGGATATTACCTGTAGGTACACATAGTAGTCGTATGGTTGGTGTAGCGGCCAACACCGCTGAGCCGGCACGGGGTATAGCGGCGGCACGGGGTATAGCCCGCCGCCGCCTAGCTTATTGCGTAGGATTCGGCTGATGCTGGATACTGAGGGCACGTTGTACTTGTCGCATACGCCGTCCGCCAGCAGCCGGTCGCGGATCTCCCACGCGAAGATTCCAGGGTCCTTCGCCTTCAACTGCTTTATGTATGACACCACCTGAACAATTCAAAGGGGTTGGTCAACAAAAAACGTAAATAATCAAGATGCACCTGGGAACTTTAAGCAATTTCCGGAAGTCGAATTCGGATGATTTCTTGTTTTTCATAAACAGGTGCAAACGACTCCATTGAACTTGATGTTAAGGGACGTCTGGACTCTACCAGATGCGAAGGTAGCTGGTGCAGCAGGCATCCTCACTTAACCGGCCTGCAAGTTCTTTCTTCATGTCTATTTTATAGGACTATGGAGGGAATATGCGTATCGCCTGCTTTCGCTCCTTTGCTACCAATCTACAAAGGGTATATCTCGATAAATGTATGTAAGCAGCAGATATGAACATGCCTTCAACACCTCACCTTAGGAGTGGTAAATCTGGGATTGAAGCTGCCGATGGCTCCCTGCAGGATGGAGCTTGTCTCGTGGTAGCGGGCCAACATACGCAGCCGTGGGACACCCGCAACTGCCGGCTGATGTCGCACGGCCTGGGAGATATGGACATGCCTGCAGCACCTCACCTTAGGAGTGGTGGTTCTAGATTTGGGGCCACCCATGGCTCCCGGCTAGATGGAACCAGTTTCGTGGTACCGCGCCAGGATCTTGGACACGCAGCCGTGGGACACCCGCAGCTACCGGCTGATGTCACACGGCCTGGGAGATATGGACATGCCTGCAGCACCTCACCTTAGGAGTGGTGACCCTAGGCTTGGAGCCGCCGATGGCTCCCGGCAAGATGGAGCCAGTTTCGTGGTACCGCGCCAGGATCTTGGACACGCAGTCGTGGGACGCCCGCAACGGCCGGCTGATGTCGCACGGCCTGGGAGATATGGACATGCCTGCAGCACCTCACCTTAGGAGTGGTGACCCTAGGCTTTGAGCCTCCGATGGCTCCCGGCAGGATAGAGCCAGTTTCGTGGTACCGCGCCAGGATCTTGGACACGCAGCCGTGGGACACCCGCAGCTGCCGGCTGATATCACACGGCCTGGGACGAATGATTTACATAATATTATATTTATTTAAACAGGTTTATTAATTGGTAAATCAATTAGATTTAGAGTTTACCAAGTCGACGACGTTGTTCTGTCACCAAAATTCATAATTAAGAAATGAAAAGTAGGTAGGAAATAATTTTTCCACTTTCATGTTTTAAGGGTATACGTATGGGAGGAGCTCGATGGCACAAGTGGTTAACGCGTTCGGCTGCGATCGTTGAAGTTAAGCAACTTTCGCAGTGGTCGGTTATGGATGGGTGACCAAAAATCTTCTATCTCGAGTTTCTCCGTGCTTCGGAAGGCACGTTAAGCTATTGGGCCCGGCTGCATCTGCAGTCATTAGCACCCACCAATCCGCACTGGGCCTGCGTGGTGGGTCATGGCCCAATCTCCCTATTCCATCCATAGGGAAGGCCTGTGCCCCAGCAGTGGGGACATTAATAGGCTGATGATGATGATGATGAACGTAAAGTACACCCCTATTTATATTTTAAAAGGTTTACCAAACTCTACTATAGGCATATTCCGAAATCTCCATGAGAATATCGAATTTCAAGATAAGATCCCGTACTAAAAATACTCGTACGAGTAGGTAGTATGTACCTGGGTACGACCTACCTACCTATCCCCACTAAAGACCGGTAACAAAGGCTTGTACTAAACTTATACCCCCTTATTAATAAACAAGGAATTGGCTTAGACTTGTTTCGCCGTGTTTTTTTCATGCCACTCAAATGCCATTTATCATCCAATAGACAGAGACAAAATATGGAGTAACTAATCTAAACGTAGTCTTCGTTTATAAATAAGGGGGTTGTAGTAATACTCCATAGGTATTTGACACTCCCAAATGGATTTTGAATCCCAAGTGGATTCACATTGATGTGGCCAATCAAAACGCGGCAAACCATTCCCGTACACCGCAAACTTTGGCGATTACATTTTCCAATAAAAATTGAGCTATGCAGATTTGCGGCACTGTCATAAGCTGCTTGTTGATTTCGCCGCCCAGCTGATTCACCTCCCCATACTGCTGCCTCCGCTCGAGTCTAGCAGACACAACGATAGACCAGTCCACGTACCTGATGCCAAGTTGCGCCAGTTCCACGATACGTAGTCGCACGGCGTTGGGCAGCGGTCGACCGTTGATGAACACGCCGCCCAGCTGATTCACCTCCCCATACTGCTGCCCCCGCTCGAGTCTAGCAGACACAACGATAGATCAGACCGCTTACCTGATGCCAAGTTGCGCCAGTTCCACGATACGTAGTCGCACGGCGTTGGGCAGCGGTCGACCGTTGATGAACACGCCACCCAGCTGGTTCACCTCTCCATACTGCTGCCCCCGCTCGAGTCTAGTAGACACAACGTTAGACCAGACCACGTACCTGATGCCAAGTTGCGCCAGTTCCACGAAACGTAGTCGCACGGCGTTGGGCAGCGGTCGACCGTTGATGAACACGCCGCCCAGCTGATTCACCTCCCCATACTGCTGCCCCCGCTCGAGTCTAGCAGACACAACGATAGATCAGACCGCTTACCTGATGCCAAGTTGCGTCAGTTCCACGAAACGTAGTCGCACGGCGTTGGGCAGCGGTCGACCGTTGACGAACACGCCGCCCAGCTGATTCACCTCCCCATACTGCTGCCCCCGCTCGAGTATAGCAGAGACAACGATAGACCAGACCACGTACCTGATCCCAAGTTGCGCCAGTTCTACGATACGTAGTCGCACGGCATTGGGCAGTGGGCGGCCGTTGACGAACACGCCGCCCAGCTGATTCACCTCCCCATACTGCTGCCCTCCCGCGCCGCCCACGCCGCCCACGCCACCCACGCCGCCCATGCCACCGCCACTCGGGTCTGGTGAGCAAAACACAAACGGGTGAAATGACAGTCAACTACTTGGTGTAACAACATAAGGAGGACGAAGAACATAATCATAGTTATAATTTTTATTATTTTACAGCATGCCACTGCTTGATGTTTAAATCTAAAGAAAATATAACTAGAAAAAAATCCACGCGGACCAGGCAGCAGACGGGACTCGAACCCGCACCCTTCGCGATCCGGGCGAATGCACTGACCGTTTAATACTTGTAAAAGTATTCATTTGACATTGTGGGTTACCTATAATGCGAAGAGATGGCGCTGCCTTGCAGCTTAAGAATGGCTAGAAGAATTTCGACGCGGTCCGTGAGGGCCGCGGTAGCATAATTGGTCAGTGCATTCGCCCGGATTGCGAAGGGTGCGGGTTCGAGTCCCGTCTGCTGCCTGGTCTGCGTGGATTTTTTTCTAGTTATTTCTTGTTAAACATAATCATAATCAAAATCATTTATTATTCAATTGAGGCTGTTACAAGCACTCATGAATATCTGGAAGTTACGCTATCGGTTCGTAAATCTGCAGGAGACCTTGTACTGAGAAGAACGGGCAAGAAACTCAGCAATGGCTGTTTTTTCTCCCTGTTTAATTATTTACAGAGTCGTCAAGTTGAAAAATGACTTCAGAGATGATTCATGAAGTCACCTTTCATTTCACACACAACACTAACTCCAGTTTTACAGTCAATGTCGAAAAATCGCTTTATATTCGCGCGTTTTGATACTCATAATAGGGAGTGCTTACTGTCTATAATAATATTATTCAAATCTACTTTAATCTAGAATGAGATAAAAACAATATTTTGCCGAATAACAATTTAAGCTCTATGTCTTTGAAGTGCCACAAGAGCCACGCTTGAAACATTCCTTGAACTTTGATATTCCTTATTATTTAATAACGTGATCTTGATATTGTTTCAAGAGTGTGATCTCCTTATTAATTTAATATTCAGCTAATATAGCGTGGAGTGTCTGGTAGCACACATGTGCGGTGACGTCAAAGGTGTCACATATCGCCGCGACCTTTGATGTCGCGCCTCCTTTGACGACGACACCCGACCGCCGCCGGTCTCCCGTCTCCCTCTCTCCCTCCTGAACAGCATTGTTTCTTTATTAAGTTTAACTGGAGAACGTTTGCCGGTGCGCTGCGCAGGAGTCGAGTTTTATACGTTTCGAATTAGTGACACGGATCTCACTGTTGCGCGGGCGGTAAATGAAAATGAAAAGAAACAAAATGAAATTGTGTATGTGAAATCGTAAAGGTATGGAATGTTAGCAGTTCATTCATTGTGTACAATGTACGTACATACTAGGCATTAAAAAATAATTTTACTCGAAATTACGTTTAGTATTACAAATAGCATTCAAATCTAATTTACTGTTTTAAATTGCAGGCCGTGGGCTGTCAACGAATTGGACTTCATTTACACATAAGTATGAAATACAATTATGAACCACTTCAATTCCTAATGCATCAAAGTGCGTCTCTAGAAATGAGCGTCATTTATTAAAATTCTTTGTCATACGGACACCACGCCTTTCATGCTTTTTAATTCAATTTGCTAGAGGATTTCGCAAAATTTTATATTGACGTGACAACGTCTTAAATTAGGTTGCGGCTGGGAGTCACTTATGAAAAAGTGTAACGCTCGGTAACGTTACGATAAGTTTAAGTTTACATGTACAATGTTTTAGTAAACAAAATATATTTCTATAGTTAAAATTTGTGCAATTCTTATTTTCATTCAATTCCTTGTTCCTATTGTGCAATTTAATTATATTCATATCAATAAATATTCTACCGAGAAAAAGACGTTGTCACGTAAAATCTTCGCCCGTAAAACCGACTTTACAGGCAACCATTTTTTTTATAACAAGAACATTTTCATAAATTAATACCTTATTCAATTAATCAGTCTAAAAATAAAAGCTCTAACGAGCTATGTTGACAGCGGGACATTTGCACTGCCATTAAATATTCTCTAAATAATCTTGTGCGTATTAAATTTAACATGACATGAAGGGAAGATATGGACGCACAAAGTGACACCACAAATTCTCAACTCGAGACTTGAGTACGAAGTTGACATGACAGAAGTGACAGATTGTCACTAAAGGCGGACAAGCTGAGCTTAAATGTATTGTAGTTTCAACTGACTTAAAAGAATTCACGATACTAAAACGAATGCAACAATTAGGGTATGTGTCAGTTTAAACGATTTAGTTTAAACGACGGACGACCTCCGTGGCCGAGTGGTTTGTACGCAGGGTTTCATGGCTGTCGCCGACTCGAGAGGTCCCGGGTTCGAATCCCGGTGGGGGCAGATGTTTGTGTGATGAATACGAGCATTTGTACTCCAGTCATGGATGTTTAATATGTATTTATATAAATATATGTACTTATATATGTACAGTATATGTATTCTATCCGTTACCCTAGCATCCCATAACACAAGCCTTATAGTGCTTACTTTGGGGCTAGGCTAATTGGTGTGAGTGTCGGAAATATTTATTTAATATTAATTTATTATTATATGGGTAAGAAAGAAGAACGCGAACGAAATCAGACTAATGGTGCCGGATAGCGCACCTTTTGGTTGCTTTCCAATTACAGCATTATTGCGCATTATGCGGCATAATGCTTAACGTTGAGTGTTCCAACTACAGCAACGCTTCGCACAATTGAGCACTCTCAAAAGTGATGCTTTCGTGTGATGCGTGCAATGGTACCAACTTAGAGAAAGAAAATTAACAAGTGTTTTTTCTTTAAGTTGGCATTGATCGAAATGTTTTATTTATATGTTATCGTTAGTAATATTATTTATTGTTGAAAAATTATTAAAGCTTTCGTTTCATTAAATAGTTTTGACGTGACAACGTCTTAAATTAGGTTGCGGCTGGGAGTCACTTATGAAAAAGTGTAACGCTCGGTAACGTTACGATGAGTCTCTCGTGTTAAGTTTAAGTTTACATGTACAATGTTTTAGTAAACAAAATATATTTCTATAGTTAAAATTTGTGCAATTCTTATTTTCATTCAATTCCTTGTTCCTATTGTGCAATTTAATTATATTCATATCAATAAATATTCTACCGAGAAAAAGACGTTGTCACGTAAAATCTTCGCCCGTAAAACCGACTTTACAAGCAACCATTTTTTTTTTTTAAATGATCAAAGTTCATTCAAACTGTTAAAAAATAAATATAAGTATGGATGAAGGTACAAACATTGACTTTTTTTTTCAACACTGAACTTAGCGCACTCTGCTGGTGCATTTGAAAACTAATTCACGTTCCAATTAAGCATCAGCATAATTGGGCATTGTGCGGCACTGAGTCGCATTATGCTCTGTAATTGGAAAGCATACTTTATATCACTATGTTTTGTCTATGAGTTTTAGATACTTTTTTTTATTGAAATTGTTATTCTTTGACATTGATAGATTATTTCACCTTGTTACTGCCACCACTGTTTTTCTCTAACAATAATTAAAAATACAGTCCTTATCCCCATTACATTACACTAATAATATAAAGGCGAATGTTTGTGAGTGTTTGAGTGTATATGTTTGTTACTTCTTCATGTCTAAACGGCTGGAGCGATTTTTATAAAATTTGGCATGGAGTTAGCTGATACCCTGCATTAACACATAGGCTACGTTTTACTGCGGGCAAATATCCCGAATAAACCTCGGGTAACACCGCGGGTCACAGCTAGTTAGAAATAAGTAAGGAGGAACTTTTTAACTGATTATTAAGGGGCTGGCTGTCGTTGCGTAAGATTATTTTATATCTTAGCCACTTGCTGGCTATGTTCAAAATATTTTAAACTGTGTTGTATTGTTCTACATTCAAAGAGGTGGAGGGCTGATAACCTGAGACACAAGTTTTTTCCTAGTTTAGTTATTTTGATGGAATAAGAAACTGATTATGGTGAGAAATAAAAAAAATAGCAGATCCTGTGCTCTAAACGACTTGAAAGGCCATTGTAAATAAATCTTCCTATTATAGATTATTCAAAGAATAAAATTCAATTTTTTTTTTCAAAACAAAAAAAAAAAATTCAACCCCATTTTTTCCTCAATATTTTTTTTCATCATCTTAAAGCCCTTCGAATTTCGCGTCTTTTGAGCTCTCACGTCTTCGTGGCCGCACGCGAGTATTGCGATATCGCAATTCGCGCCGTGAATACTCGCGGCTAAGGGCACCTCTACAGCCTCAATCGTCACCAATATCGAAAAAAGCGAAATGCCCTAAAATGTTCCTTGGTTCAATACCGAGGTGCTTTATTTTCATATTTTTGAAATTCGGCCCCGTTCTCGAAATATCGTAAATTTTCTGTGAAAACACACTATTTCGTTTTTATTCGATTTCCCAAAAAGGGTTTAGGTATTCCAAAACATTTTTTACATCTTTGTAAAACCCTTCAAATTCTGAGTGAGTCCTCATACGCCTTCGTGGCCCTAAACCTTGGAATATCACGGGCGAGTCGCACTTTCAGCGAAAAGGGGGGCCTACTGGAGCGATCGAAAAATCATTTTTAATGTTAAAATATGGTGACATACTTATTGAAGGATCAATTATTACGTTCCTATTATTCTTTATGGCGTCTACATTCGCTGGTGTTGTAAGATTGCCGAATGATTGCTAACACACCAGTTATGCAGCGACTTGACAAATGTCCCGCACAATCTCGTCGCATCGACATTTGGACGCCCACCTTCAATAGATTCCGAGATAAATGAGTGCTCTGTGCGCTGCCAAAATTATTTCGAAACATTTAGATTGGATCGCCCGTGACAAACAACTATACATACCAACATATAAGCAACTACTAAACCGCTAATTGAATTAAAGTGTCTTTTAAATGTCTATGATAAAGTGTCCGATGCTTCGCGTTGTTTTTTTAAATAATAATAAAATAAATATTTCCAACACTCACACCAATTAGCCTAGCCCCAAA